AAGAAGGCATCCTTATGGAGGGCATCTCTCACAGCCTCCCAATCGTTAAGAATCACTACGTTATGGATTCCTAATTGCAATCTTTCATTTCAATTCAAATTAAAAATAAAATTATTGTATAAAAAGTGTATTAAAAATTATTCATTAAATAATATTTCCCGTATATATTTAATATAAACTAATATAATATGATAATAATAATATCCTTTACTGTGTGTTGTTATTAATTGATTGAGTTCTTTAACCTATTGCTATACATACAGTATAATATTGTGATAAGCTAACTGTCAATTGAAACTTACGTAAAAACGTTACCATATTGTTGACTCAAATTATAGATATCTTTATACGATTGTCGGCCGAGAAATGGTAAATACCCGACCACTGGTAGGCCTACCGGTCCCGCAGGTAAATGTTTTCGGAGCTTAAAATTACTGAATACATGTCGTATTAAACTAATAAATAGTATAAATAATGTGAGAGAACTGAAGTTTTCAAACACATAGTCAAACACTGATTGCATAAAAAACATTTTGTAGTAAATCAAATGTAATAAAATGTTAAAATACAAACAAAATATAGTAAATATTATATAGAAGCAAATCTGTAACAACCAAACAGAAAATAATATTTAATTTTGTTAATATTTAGTTTTATGCATGAAATTTATTTTCATATCATTTTAAGATTAAACCCTAACTCTAAAGTCCAGGGTTTGTACCGAATTGAATAGAGTAATTGTTTCTGGATATTAGTTATACACTGTATGTAATACTCGTACGATATATAAAAAATTTTTAGTGCAATATATGAAATTTTGATATCTTTTTTGATATAAAATCCATTGAACTTCTGTTTTGAAAATTTTTATTTATTATTAACTGAAGAATTGATAAAAATGTGTTTTTATATGAGAATGAAAAGCCATATGGTTTGTAATTTAAAGTATAACTAGTGATATATTTGCAAGTTTTAAATTGATAAATGAATAATGATAATAATTTTAATTAAACTTATAATAAAAATTATAATAAAACTTTATATAATATTAGTATTAATTCTAGTGAATCTTTCATAATAAATACTAACATTTCATTAAAACAATGATTTCCTTTTAATTTTAATCATTTAATTTAAACATAATTTACGTATAAATGTTAAGTCATATACACAATTGTAATATAACACAATTCAATCTATGTTGTAAACAATATTTAGATTAAATTTGATCAAAGTAACAATTTTTGTGAAATATGTGTCTGGGACGCAAATAATTGCAGACATTCAATGTGTGAATCATTGTATTGTTTAAAATCGTTTCTGAAACCTAAGAATAAATGATTCCTTTGGCTGTAATGTTAGCCCAAATTTGTCCTCTAATGTGAATCTCTCTTCGTTTTCGGCACTTATTGTATATCTTTGTAAAAGTGATACGAAATACAGGAATACCTCCACTCGTGCTAATGTCTCGCCAACACAATTGCGTTTACCTTTAGATACAATTTATGTGAGTTTATATGTTTTTAATGTATTCATAATATTTGTAGTCAGAAATATACCCAGGGTAAATGGTATTAAAGCTTCCGTTTTAATTAAATTCTTCCCATCGCTTGTTATAAATCTATTTGGATTAAATTGTTCAGGTTTTTGCCATACTTTGTGATCATGGTGAACAGCCCATAAGTTGATTAAAATTCGGGTATCTTTTGGAATAAAATGTCCCAAAATATACGAGTCCTCAGAAGCGCTATTAATATGTAATGTTATATTTAATACATTATAATACAGTTAATTAAAGATGATATAAATACAATTAAATTTAATATTACAATTATTTATTAAAATACATTTACCTTCGCACAAGATTTAGCGGTAGAATATTTTTCCAACGAAACACTTCATTAATGAATGCCTGACTGTAAGGCATATCAAGTCTGTCAGCCCACGTGGGGCTCCGGTCTCTACCGATCACATCATCGATCTCTTCGTGTAATCTCTTTTGAATGTCTTTGTGTTTTACGGCTAACAATACTAACCACTCGACTGTTGTCCGCACTGTTTCACTGCCCGCACCGAAGAATGTTCTGCTGTTTGTCGATAACTTTTTAACTAAAATATTAATTATATTCTGTGATTAAAGCACTAAATATTTATCGTAAATCTAATTTCTAAATCATGACTTACACGTGAAACTAGAGTTGGGGTCAGTGTGTTGTCTCTTTTGCATTTCATTAAGGAATCCGTCCATATAATCACGATTATTGTTTGGATCCATTGTCTTCTGGTGTGACTCTATTTCCTTACTATTAAAATATTAATTTATAATTAAAAATGAAATATAAAATTATAAAAAATAAGTATTACTTAAATATATTAATAACAGTCTCAAATTTCTTTGACATTCCGATGGCTCCGACTTTTAAGATTATTTTACTGAACCAAACGGGAGAGACAGCAAATAGTCCTAATAATGAAAACAATGGACCCGCGGTATCCAACAGATCGTCAAATATGATACGTTTGGGATCATTGAAGTCCATCCGATGACCAAATACCAGATGAGAGATATTATTAGACATACTCGGGACCAATAGTTTATGGAAATTGAATCCCTGGCCATCGGTTTCATCAATAAGTTTAATGAGATATGAGATCTCATCGCCAATCCTATCCTCCATACTTCCCTTTCCAAACCCTAAATCTCGAAGTGTTTGTAATGCAAACCTCCGGTGATCTCTCCATTCCTGTCCGCTATCGTCAACGAGACCTAATAGTGAAGTGAATTTGATTTGATTGAGTATATAGTATACGTATAAAGTATATGTGATATATTACTGCTTGAGTTGTCTGCGAGAGTGAACGGACCGTTTTTTGGTCGGTCTAAGAAGGAGTCCTTTAAAAGAGCATCTTTTGCTGACTCCCAATCATTCACTATAACTGTGTTATGAACTCCTAATTGTAATCTATTTGTATATTTAATACACAATTATTATAGTTTTTTCCATTCAATTAATAGTTATTGTAATTATGAATATAATGCTAAAACTTACGTAAAAACTCCTCCGTATTTGTCGCTCAATTTTGCGATATCTTTATGTGGTTCTCGTCCGAGGAATGGCAGGTATCCGACCAGTGGTACACCTATTGGACCCGACGGTAGACTCAGACGCTCCTTATAAGTACTGAATATATGCTGAAATAATATAAATAGTAATATAAATAATATTACAAACAATACATTTTCAAACAAATATCTAAATAGCAATTGTAATAAAAACATATTAAAATTTATGTTTCTATATTTATTATTTATTATAATTTTATTTAATAGACAATCATTTTAAACTGAATCTGTATTTATACAAAATACAAACAATATCATGATGTGATAGAAACAGTTATCAAATTAACCTTGTCAGACAAGTAATACAGCAAAATGAACAACGAGGTAAAACTTTATATTATAACCATTTTTGTGATAATTAATAGCGAAGTATTTAGAAAATGCATACATTAGGCACCCTTTGATTATTAGTAATATCGATTTTATCCGTAAAGTATTACGGATAAAAGAAGTACACATATGCTGTGCAATTGATCGTACCTTATTTTGAGGTTACACTGTCTTAAATTTACAACAAAATTACAATTAAGAAATTTTACTTATCGTTTTCAACTTAATTTCAACTCATTGTACTAAACTCAAGTCCTCTGTATTCGCATACAAGTTATAATTACAGCATTAAGGTTGACTATTTAAAATAATCATGTTATCAATTTTTCTAATTTAATGATTATTTTAGTATTTGAGCCAAACTTATTTTAACATAATTTTAAAGTAATTTTATATACATTATTCTCTATGATTACTATTATAATGTATGAACAGAACTTTAGGTCTAACGAGAAATATTTAATAGTAAGCATATTGTTTTGTCAAATTATAATAGTATTTAATCAAAAATTCGTAAAATAATATTTGTTGCCAAATTTATTCAATACAAAATTTATTATATAATAAATGCAGAATTTAATATTGATATTACATTAAGTAGTAAGATTTTATTACCGTATTACCCCGCTTATAGGTGCATGCACTTATAAGTGAGTTTTCACACAAGGGGTGCACCTATATCCGGATATAGGTGCGGTAGTTTTGGTGACATTCAAAATCTGTGAAATTCACTTATAAGTGCATGCACCTATAAGCGGGGTAATACGGTAGAAGTTTATTAATTTAATGAAAATTACAAAATTTAAATGATTGTATTGATTAAAATCGTTTTTGAAATCTAAGAATAAACGATTCCTTTGGCTGTAATGTTAGCCCAAATTTGTCGTCTAATGACAACATCTCTTCGTTTTCGGCACTTATTGTATATCTTTGTAAAAGTGATACAAAATACAGGAATACCTCCACTCGTGCTAATGTCTCGCCAACACAATTGCGTTTACCTTTAGATACAAATAATGTTAGATAATAATTATTAAATATTATTATAAAAACACAAATTAATTAAAAATTAAGCAAAACATACCGTAAGAAAATGGTATCAAAGCTTCGGTTTTAATCAATTGTTTGGCATCAGGTGTTAAAAATCTATTGGGATTGAATTGATCAGGGTTGTTCCATACTTTGGGGTCGTAATGGACGGCCCATATATTAGCCATTATTCGGGTGTTTTTGGGTATGAAATGACCCAAAATATATGCATCTTCAGAAGCGCTGTTTATATATTTGAAAATAATTTAAAATTAAATTTATTGTTTTAATTACACAATTGGTAAGAAAATGTTCTTTTCTATAAAGGCAAATATTGTATACAATTTACCTTCTCATTAAATTTAATGGTGCAATAGTTTTCCAACGAAACACTTCATTAATGACTGCCTGAGTATAAGGCATATCAAGCCTGTCAGCCCACGTGGGGCTCCGGTCTCTACCGATCACATCATCGATCTCTTCGTGTAATCTCTTTTGAATGTCTTTGTGTTTTACGGCCAACAATACTAACCACTCGACTGTTGTTCGCACTGTTTCACTGCCCGCACCAAAAAATGCTCTGCTATTCGCTGCTAATTTATTAACTGAAACACAGATTATAAATAAATTCAAATGAATTTAAATGACAAACATTTTCACTAAATTTTCACATTTTATAACTAATATATTAAGCATTTACTAACTCGTGAAACTAGTGTTGGGATCCCTTTGTTGTCTGATTTTCATTTCATTGAGGAATCCGTCGATATAATCACGATTATTGTTTGGATCCAAAGTCTTCTGGTGTGACTCTATTTCCTTACTATTAAAACAGTACATTTGTTAACAAATATTAATTTATAAATGAATAAAAATTTATACTCAAAAATTCCAATTATTGTCTTAAATCCTGTATTACTAAATGCTCCCAATTTTAAGATTAATTTACAGAACCAAAGGGGAGATAAAGACAAAACTCCGAGCATTGAGAACTGACTCGCGAGCGTATCCAACATATTATCAAATATAATACGTTTGGGATCATTGAAGTCCATCCGGTGTCCAAATACCAGATGACAGATATTGTTAGACATACTCGGAGTCAGAATTTTATGAAAATTGAATCCCTGGCCATCGGTTTCATCGATAAGTTTAGTGAAATGTGTGATCTCATCGCCAATCCTATCCTCCATACTTCCCTTTCCAAACCCTAAGTCTCGCATCGCTTGTAACGCAAACCTCCGGTGCTCTCTCCATAAGAGCCCATTATCATCGCCAAAACCTTTACAATTAATGACTTTTAATTAACAAATAATTAATTTTTAATTATAATAATTACTGCTATCGACGTCTGCAATAACAAATGCACTGTCTTTGGGTCGGTCTAAGAAGGCGTCCTTTTGAAAGGCATCCTTTACTGCCTCCCAATCATTGAGAATAACTATATTATGGACTCCTAATTGCAATCTATATGTATTTCACACAATAGAAAGTTATTATAATTACAAATAATTTTTATTAAAGTGAAAACTAATAAATAAAAATAGTTTTATATTTTAAAAAAGGAATTATAAAATTATTTTAATATAATAAATATTTACGTAAAAACGTTTCCGTATTTTTCACTCAATTTTGCGATATCTCTATGCGGTTGTCGTCCGAGGAATGGCAGGTATCCGACCAGTGGTACACCTATTGGACCCGACGG